GCGCCCAGAGCGGGATGGCCGGGCCCGGGGCTTCGCGCTTTCTTCGCCGGCCCGCCGGCACGCGGAGCCTTTAAAGGCGGCAACCCGAGACTTAAGGTGTCCCCAAGTGTCACCCTCCACCCTCGGGCCGCCTCCGCCGCGGGCTTCATGGAGAGCGCCGGGCCCTGCGCCAACGCTGCGGGGGCCGCCACTTTGTGCACTTGCGGGGCCCGGGGGTAGGTAGGTCCTGGGCCGGCGGGAGTCGCAGCCATCCCCGGGCCGCTCCGCGCTGGTTTGAACAAAATAGAAAGGTGCCCGGGCTGGCAAGGGTTAAAAGTTAGCTTTAAATATTCATGTCATTGTTTTAAAGGTGTAAACATGTGGCTTTTGGGTCCGAGTTGACCATCTTTCATTTTGCACCTTAGCTACCCCCTTTTGTTTAATTTCTCCAAATTTCCCCCAAGCACCTCCTCTCTCTTCCCAACCCTTCCAAAAAATGTAAGCATTTGTTCTCTCTTAAGGTTGGGATGTGAGTCTGTGATTTGTGTCCCTTGTTCCATTTGGAATCTTAAAACTCCTGAGCGCCTTCTCGACTGAAGGTGTTTTAAGACTTTTTTTCCCTTTAGAACTCTAGGGATGTTAGTCCCCCAAATTCTCTCCACCTTTTTGAGGGTGGGGAGAGGGATAGGGCTCAGAGGTAGGAAAATAACTGGATACCTCATGAGCTGGATTGTTTTATCCCCTGGTAAGGGCGAGGCCGAGATAAATGCGAGGCATTTTGTGAGGAAAGGACTTTGCTGTTTTTGTTCCAACGCCTCCAAGTCAAAGTGGCGTTCAAACTTTTTTCCTGACTTCACAAGTCCCATGTCTTGTGACTTGCTTTGCGTGCTAGCTCTTTTTGTGCAGATTCGTTTCTGGGAATCCTTTTGGAAGGTTTGCCCTTGTCCAGTTAGCTGTAGGTTTCCCGCTAGAATCGCTGCTCAGCTGCTCATCCCAAACATGTTTTTATAGCAAAGATGTTCAGGATGTGAGATTTATTTTAAATGAGCCATGTACTACCCTGGGGATGGAAGACTCTATAAATGGGAATTATGTTCTTAATCATAAGTTTTATGAGGGAAACTGACCCTGAAACTTGGGGTGTCTGTAATCCTAGGCCCAATAAAGCCTCAGTGTGGACGTTTGTAAACCCTAGGAGCACGTGCTGGCTTTTGCTTGAACCCCAAAGTCTAAAAAACATAGAAGGTCTTATTCCAGAGACTCATGGTGGTACCCAGTATTATAAATGCTAGTGCTTTAATATGGTTAGATTTATTCTTTTAATTTTGCAATGAAATGGCAACGAGCCCTAGCATCTTTTGTTAGTGATGTGTGTACTGGTTGGTTGGGTGGCGTGTTTGCTTTCTAGGAAATAGCATTGCATTATAATGTCAGAGGACTTCCCAAGTGTTCCCTTGAAGAACCCAAACTTCCCTGTGCTAAACAGCCATTCCAATTTTAAGTTGTACCCTTGAGTGAGGCCTCCTATTAGGTTTGGATTATGTTGTATCCTCCTGGCTCAGAGGCAAAACACATTTTTTCTAAAAGTAGGACTTAGTTTCAAAAGGTATTTAGTCCAGAACATTTGCATTGTGGTCCTTTCCCACCATTTCTATGGGGAAGTTTGTTTTTTCTATGTGAGATACCAAAAGATGTCAGAAGGTTTTCTAGAAAAGTCACATTACTGAGGACCTTTACTTTCTGATGAAAGGACCAGTGGTGCAGTTGTAATGCTGCACCGTAGAAGAAATTTTGAGACTTACTGTTCTAGGTGGCGTGGTGTCATGTGAGCTTGCTGGCCTGGCCTGCCTTCTTTAAAGGAAATCTTCCTTGCTGGCCCTCCTACCACAGTTACCCAGTATAACCCCACACCAAGTGTCAGGTCTTCTGGAGGTGCCCACATTTATAAAATGATTTATTCTGGCATGTACATCGCTATGGTGAGGGATCAGTAGGCCTGAATCCCATTTACTTTCCCTATCTTATGTTCACTTGACTGTTGGCAGTAGCACCAGAATTCTTTGAATGATGTCTTTGTGTTTTGGCAATACCCAGGTGGATCTGTCAAGAACTCAGCCAGCCGGGAGCGGGAGGGGAGGGGCTGAGCGTGAGGAGTGGGCCCAAGAACCATGTCTACTCGGGAGTCCTTTAACCCGGAGAGTTACGAGTTGGACAAGAGCTTCCGGCTAACCAGATTTACCGAGCTGAAGGGCACAGGCTGCAAGGTGCCCCAGGATGTCCTGCAGAAATTGCTGGAACCTTTGCAAGAGAACCACTTCCAAGAAGATGAGCAGTTTCTGGGAGCTGTTATGCCAAGGCTTGGTATGTACGCTGTTGTTTCTTTGATAGTGTCCAATCAATCAGTGAGTGAGTCAAAAAACAGACTTCTCGCCCGCATTCCCTCCCCCCACTTTCAGTTTTTGTAAGGATTCAAAGAACCATCAATGGTAACTTAAGTTGTTGTAACTCATTTGGAGGAAGTACTTGGTTGACAAGCATCGAGATGCGTATAACAACAGTTTTTAAGCTATGGAATATGCAAGTGAGATAATTATACTACAGTAAAAGCATTTTTTAATTAAATCAGATTTTCTGCCTAGCAAAAGATTAAGCAGAAACTGCTTTATGTCCTGTTCTTGAAATGGACCCCTAAAATACTTAAATTTTTTTCCTTGCCCCAGGAATGGTGTGGGAGGGAATTGGGGGAGTCCTCTGCAGTGGCATTCATTGAAAGTCTGCTATGCGGGTGACTCACACCTGTAATCCTAGCACTCCGGGAGGTCAAGGCAGGTGGATTGCCTGAGCTGAGGAGTTCAAGACCAGCCTGAGCCAGAGCAAGACCTCATCTCTTAAAATAGCCAGGCATTGTTGAGGGGGCACCTGTAATCCCAGCTGCTTGTAAGGCTGAGGCAAGAGAATCACTTGAGCCCAAGAGTTTGAGGTTGCTGTGAGCTGTGACACCACAGCACTCTACCCAGGGGGACAAAATGAGATTCTGTCTCAGAAAAAAAGAAAATTGAAAATCTAGGTAGAGGAAGAAAAGGGATAGGACTACTCCAGACATAGAAGGAGTAGAGACTGGATGAATCTGTGCTTGACCCCAGGATGTCATCTGGAATCAGGAGCAGTTCTTTTTTCCTTGCTAAATTCCCAGTCAGTTGTGGTTTCTTTTTTCCTAAACACAGAGCTCAGAAAGAAGTTATAGGTTCTTGGGATATGGTTTGTTATTGTTATTGTGTGGTTTTTTAAGTACCCGTTGCATGACCGTAATCATTTTGCCTGTGTGTGTTTGACTGTTTGGGTGTTCTGTAGTAACCTTGTGACTTGATCAGCTTCCTTACATAAGGTTTTCATTTCTTTTGGCACATTATTTTGTTGTAAAGTCCTGTCTTACCACACTGGTTCTGAGCCCAGGCTACTCCTTTCTTCCTGGTATAAAGAGTTGCCTTAGTTGGGAAAGAGGAAAACTCACTCACCAGCTTCCCGTGGCCTGTAGGACTCCATCGGCTCAGTTTGAAAACAGCTCTGCTTGCTTGTCAGAAATGAGGAAAGCTCTTAGATACCTGTCAAGTAAAATCAGCTACTTAATGGTCAAAACAAATGAAATAGAAACTTGATAGATGAAGTAATGATTCCTATTAGTAACTTCCACCCGGCACTTTTGTTGACTAGTTGTCACTAATGTACTTAACCTCTTGAGTCTCAGTTTCCTAATCTATAAAGAATAACTATTAGATATTGTGTGGGTACCAGATGTACTGTGTGTATTTGTACCTGCATACACATTAGTAAATATAAACATGTGTATGTTTATATTTTTAATTTTTTCTCATTGAATGTCATATTTCCTGGATTCTGAGATGGTATTGATTGAAGGATGAACCAAAGCAACTTTTAAATGTGCACGTGCTTACTAGATGTCTCCCAACTAAAGAAATTTTACGTAAGAGCCTCTCAGAACCTGGTACCTCTGTTGCCTGGTACTTTAGAGCTATCAAGTATTAATTGCTGCTGCTGCTGGTGGTGGTGGTTGGTAGTGTGATTTATTTTTCTTGATGGGTAGTGTCAGTCTTGCTGGAAGTGTTCTGGAATTCCCCTTACCTCTTGATGATCAAAGGTAAACTGGTACTTAAGGCTTCCCCATGCTCCTTGGCCTTTTCCTGTTTGCCCTCTACCTGGACTGTCCCTCTCTTTCAGTTTGAAACCCTAGTTTTTCAAGGTCTGTGACCCATCTCAGGCTCATGTCTTCTCTTCCTCCCTTGAAATTTAGTAGGTGATTTCTAAACCAGTTGCTTTAGACCAGTCCTATCCAAAAGAAATAAGAGACAAGCCATTGTGTAATTTAAATTTTTTCTGATGGTCACATTTCACTGTTTTCCAAAGTAAATAGTATTAGCCCCAGAATAACCAGGTGTTGGCCTTATCAATTTAGGGAGAATCTGTGAAGTTGAAAGTGATTCTTGCCCTATTTCCACTTCAGTGCTGAAGAGTCTTGTTAGATATTGATACATTTCTGAGAGGCTGTGCCCATACCTGCTGTTTACATGAATTATGCATGTTCTCATATGACAAATGAAAACTGATCACCAGTAAAGTATGTTCCATTATCTCAGGTTTGTGAGATTTACTATTCTGAAATTAAATTCTGCGTTCCCAAGCTAGGTCTTTCACCAAGAGTTTCTGCTTTGCCATCCAATTGAGTAAAAAAATCAGCCTGTCTTCACAGTTCATGACTTTTATTAAACTTGATTTTTTAAATTTATTTTTTGAGACAGAGTCTAACTCTGTCACCCTGGCATGTGCAATGCCATGGCGTCATCATAGCTCACAGCAACCTCAAACTTTTGGGCTTCAAGAGATCTTTTTGCCTCAGCCTCTCGAGTAGCTGGGACTACAGGTGCCAGCCACTATGCCCTGCTAGTTTTTCTGTTTTATTTTTTCTATTTTTAGTAGAGATGATATCTCACTCTTGCTCTGGCTGGTCTTAAACTGAGCTTAAGCAATCCACCTGCCTCAGCCTCCCAGAGAGCTGAGATAAGAAGCATGAGCCTTTGTACCCGGCCCTTTCCAAATAGTTAGAAATAACTTTTATTTCTAAAATTTTTCCTGACTTGTTTAGCAGTTTTCTTTTTAATGGACAGGAGGTAAACTTAAGGCTAGTCCCTGTTCTTATTATAAGGTAATAAAAGTGGCATTTATCAATTTTTTCACTAGAGAAAGGAAGTTTTAAGATTTCCTCTTAAAAAAGGCTTTGGGGGGCTCGGTGCCTGTGGCTCAAGTGGCTAAGGCGCCAGCCACGTACACCCAAGGTGGCGGGTTTGAATCCAGCCCGGGCCCACCAAACAACAATGATAGCTGCAACCAAAAAAAAATAGCCAGGCATTGTGGCGGGCACCTGTGGTCTCAGCTACTTGGGAGGCGGAGGCAGGAGACTAGCTTGAGCTCAGGAGTGGGAGGTTGCTGTGAGCTGAGATGTCATAGCACTCTACCCAGGGGGACAGCTTGAGGCTCCTGTCTCCAAAAAAAAAAAAGGCTTTGGGGCCAGGCACTATAGTTCATATCTGTAATCCTAGCACTCTGGGAGGCTGAGGCCAGTAGATTGCTTGAGCTCAAGACTTCAAGACCAGCCTGAGCAAGAGCGAGACCCTCTCTCTACTAAAAATAGAAAAAACTAGTCGGGCATTGTAGCAGGCACCTGTAGTTCCAGCTACTTGAGAGACTGAGATAGGAGGATCTCTTGAACCAGAGTTTGAGGTTGTTGTGAGCTGTGATGCCACAGCACTCTACCCTTCTCAATAAAGGAAGGGGTGGCTTTTGGGAGGTTATAAAACAAATGAATTACATAGGTGCTAGAGTGGTTATATACATGCCCTTTTTTTTTTTTTGAGACAGAGTCTTACCTTGTCATCCTCGGTAGAGTGCCGTGGTATCATAGCTCACAGCATCCTCAAACTCTTAAGCTCAAGTGATTCTCTTGCCCCTGCTTCCCAACTACCTGGGACTACAGGTGCCCACCACAACACCCAGCTATTTTTAGACATGGGGGGTCTTACTCTGGCTCAGGCTGGTCTCAAATCTGGGAGCTCAGGCAGTCTACCCTCCTCGACCTCCCAGAGTGCTAGGATTGCAGGCATGAGCCACCTTGCCCTGCAATATATACATGCTTAACTGGAAATGGGGACACCAGTGATCTGCCCGTGTCCTTTTCTTTTTTGTCATTTTAATTATTAACTAAGATGTAAAAATGAAAGCATTTTCTATGTAAGATATTTTACAGATTTTCTGCTGGGAAAACAGAACAGCATCTAAAGATGTACTCAAAGTAACTCTAGGTAAAACAACCCAAGTTTTGTTTGTTATTCTCATTATTAAAAGAAAGTCACATGATACAGTAATGCAGTCAAATGATGCAAAGAAAATGCTACAGTAAAAAAGAAAAGTTTTATTCATCACTGAAATTTAAAAATTGTACCATATTGAGATTAAGTCTTGGTGACTACATTTGCGTGCATATTTTCTCTCTCAAGTTAGTTATAGCTCAGTCTAGTTCAGTAATGCGTCTTGATAGGAAACACATGGGCTAGTTGTGCCATGCAGAGCTCTTCCCGCTCAGCCCTGCGCTGTCCTCTGGAATGGCTTTCCCTTGTCGTGTTTGGGTGCTGATGACTTCCATCCCTGCAGGCATTGGAATGGATACTTGCGTCATTCCCCTGAGGCACGGAGGTCTTTCCTTGGTGCAAACCACAGATTACATTTATCCTATTGTAGACGACCCCTACATGATGGTAAGTTTGACCTGATGTATTTCTGTAACGGGAGCTGCTTATTCGTTTGGGTTCTGGTTGTGGCTGAGGTTTTGTGTCTATGTCTGTGGGTTTTGGTTTTGTTTCTGTAATATCCAGATTACACTACCCTCCTCCCTCCCATCAGGCTGTCTGTCCTGTCCCTGCTCACACAGGGCGTTGGGCAAAAAGCAGTTATGGTGGAAGCAGGGAAGTCCCTCTGCCGCTGCTATGGCTGAGCCTCCGTATACGAGGGAGAACACCCGTTGCTGAGTGTCTGTGGACTCAGATTTCTGTCATTCCTCTCTGTCTTTCCTGGTGCCTTTTTTTCTTTGATACTCCTGTGTTTTAGGATGGGAATGTTAGTAGGACTGATCCTAAATGTTCTTTCCAGAAATACAGGGCTTAGCATCCCATCATAGTTAGACTACTTTAACATGTATCCTGATAGCCAGTCATTTCCCCCATCTGGCCACACACATACCCGCCCACCATGGTGCTACAGGCCAGTGTGTACATACACATCTGAGCCCAGCTGCTGGTCACACGCTGGAGGTGTGTTTCTCAGGTGTTCTCTGCCAGCCAAGAGGTGCCAATGAACAGACTGAGAATATCCCATTTTCTATAAAATGCCAGATGTCTTTCCTGGGCAGCAAGGACACTGGGACAGAGCTGCACCCACAGGGACTTCACCATGAGGTGGCCAAATAGATGTTCACATCTCAGGTGCCAGTGACAAGTAAACAGGGTATTAGAAACCTATATTCCCTCTGCACGTCCATCTGTTCTCTCCTCTAGAGCAATACTATTGAGACTGGACAGAAGCCACACCCTTGTCCCACTTGACCAGGTGGAGAGATTCATCCTTTGTGCAGCATCTCTCAAAGTGAGAGTGCCCAGCACAGAAGGGGTGTTAATCACTGCTGCCACGCTAAGCAGTGTTTGGCATCTCCAAGTTGCAGACCACCCGTTGGCCTTAGGGATTAGTTTGGTGATACTGAAAATGTGTCTACAGCAAATCATAGAGTTGCATCACTGATCTGTTAGGAATTCGTAAAAGAGCACGAAATAAGCAGTGGGACAGCTGTTGGGTATGGTAATACTTATCCTCACGTCAGAAGAAAACATTGTCATTTTCTCTTGCTGTCTGTAAAAAATAATGACTTAGACAAAGGCAACTTAGATTTTAAAAATCAAGGACAGTAAAAAAAAAAGTTCATTACCGTATTTCTATTGAATTATATTTTCACGTTCCTAATAAAATGGTATCATTTACTGGGAAGAACGTCCCTTTTTCTTTAGAAATCAGTATGACTTCAGCTGTGGATGTTTTTTATTTTTTTGCTTCTCAAACAAGATGATTTTCCTGTTTATCTTCTGCAACCTCAAAAAGAAGCTACAAGCATTTCTTAACCCAAGTGCACAAAAACCATTTCCTTCTCTCTAACCACTAAAATCAACATCTTTTAGAATCTGTTTGGGATAAGTGGCTGTTTCTAAGTTTGCTTCAGGACAGTTGTTTGTGGACGTTTCACTACACACTGTCCCCCAGACCACCGATTCTAACTTAACTTTCCTCTGTCATTATTCCCCCCTCACGGCCTCCCTTGTCTGGCCTCCCCTGTCCGGCCTCCCCTGTCCATCCTTGTCCTCTCCTATCTAGATAAGCTTGCAGGCTTCTGGTGTTCTCTATTTTGCGTAAGAAAGAAGAGGTGGTAACAGGAATGTCTGAGAAAAAGTGAGTGGCTTAGTAGCAGGTACCCTGCGACCTCATCTGTAGCTGCTCTTCTTGGAAAGTCCCCGAGTTCTTGGAGGTCACTCCGTGGGGTCACACTTTGTCTCTACAGATGGAAACTCCCTGTTTGTCCTCTCTCACATTTTCCCTCTCTTCCCAGGGCAGAATAGCATGTGCCAACGTCCTCAGTGACCTCTACGCAATGGGGGTCACAGAATGTGACAATATGCTGATGCTCCTTGGAGTCAGTAATAAAATGACTGACAGGGTGAGTAGGAGGCGTCCGGCTGCTCCCTGGTCCACGATGTTGTGGTCGAGTTGCTGGACTAGCTTAGACGACGTCTCCCATCTGGAAATGAGGCAGGCGCCCAGGCCATATGGCTTCCAGGGTTCCTTCCGGCTCTCCACTTTTTGGCATTTAGCAATAAATTAAAATGAGAGTCTGGCCTGTTCATCTTTTCATTTCTGCCACCTGCTCCCTTTCTCTCTCCAGGTAGACTGAAACCAAGACATTTTTGTCTATTTGTTTTAATAAAGTTTCAGCCATAGTAATATTGTGGCTTGGTGCCAGGCCTGTGGGTCAGCCACAGCCCTAGGAATCCAGGGCACATAGCTCTTAGGCCCAGGCACCCTGTTTGTTGGGGGCTGGGGCCATCCCGTGCTCATGCCTCTGTGTCACTTTGCCTGGCGGCATTTGTGTTCTTGCTGCCTGTACCTGTTCTTTGAACCAGAGATGAAGTCCCATTTAGGTTATTCTTGATAGGTACTTGTTTTTGTTCAGAAAGACCCCAACAGTTTGCCCTGCCTTACAGAAACACGAGTTTTCAGTAGGCCCTTTTCTGCCCTAGAATGTGTGCTGTGGTCATCGCTTGTGCACAGTGGCCTCAGCGAGGGCTTTGCGGGTGTGCGTTGTTCATAGCCCTCAGCCGATCTTCGCACTCCTTGGTAAGACGGAAGCCTCCTCGAGGGCAGGGGTTCATGTATGTAGTAAGCAAGTCTTGGGATTCTTATGGAATGTTAGAGAGCTGAGTTCTAATGGTCATCAAACTTGGGGCCGTTCCTGCAGACTGAGTCACATGCGGTGTTGTCTGGGCTCGGTTCACATTGTCACCTAGACCATCTGCCAGCGTTTGATAAAATGGTCACAGTGTGAGATGCTCCCTAGCTTTTGTTACTCCCTGCCCTGTCTGTAAACTTCCAGGGCTGCCTTTAGGACTTTACCGTCCCTTTGTAACTGCCAGTGTAGAACCCTTCTGCTGGGTTCTGAGAGGAACTATTTGACTTTTCATCTGTGTCCTTTTAAACCCTAGGAAAGGGATAAAGTGATGCCCCTGATTATACAGGGTTTTAAAGATGCAGCAGAGGAAGCAGGAACATCTGTAACAGGTGGCCAAACAGTATTGAACCCCTGGATTGTCTTGGGAGGAGTCTCAACAACTGTCTGCCAGCCAAATGAATTTATCATGTAAGTTGATTTTTGTTCTCTCATTCTCTTTCTTGCTTTCTTTTTAAAAATAGATGAACTAAAAAAAAAAAAAAATAGATGAACTGAGGCTGGGCACAGTGTCCCATTCAAATACTACTTGGGAGGCTGAGGCAAGAGGATCGCTTGAGCCCAAGGGTTTAAGGTTGCTGTGAACTGTGACATCATGGTACTCTACCCAAGGTGACAGAGTGACTCTGCCTCAAAAATAAATCAATAAGGGTGGCGCCTGTGGCTCAAGGTGTAGGGTGCCAGCCCCATATGCCAGAGGTGGTGGGTTCAAACCCGGCCTTGGCCAAAAAAAAAAATAATAATAAATAAATAAAAATCAATAAATAAACACACAAATAAGTGAATTGAGATATAATTTTTGTATGATATAATTCACCCACTTCAAAGTGTATGATTTAGTTGTTTTGGGTATATTCAGGGTTGATGTTAGAACATTTTTATTGCCCCAACAAGAAACCCTGCTCCACTTAGCACTGCCCCTCCCCAAACCGCATCCCTGATTCTATTACTCAGAATGTAATAAATAGCATAACTATTTTATTTTACTTTTTTTGGAGACAGAATCTTACTATGTTGCCCCGGGTGGTGCCATGGCATCATAGCTCACAGCAATCCCAAACTCTTGGGTTTAAGCGATTCTCTTGCCTCAGCCTCCCAAGTAGCTGGGACTACAGGCATCCGCTACAACGCCTGGCTATTTTTTGATTGTAGTTATCATTGTTTAGCAGGCCTGGGCTGGATTCGATCAAACCCACCAGCTCCAGTATATGTGGCTGGCATCTGAGCCCCTGAGCTATAGGTGCCAAGCCAATAGCATAACATTTTTAAGGATCATTTACTTTGTAGTGTGTATCAGTACTTCACACCTCTTCTTAAAGCATTGTAGTTTTTTGTTGTTGTTGTTTGTGTGTTTGTTTTGAGACAGAGTCTCAATCTGTTGCCCTGGCATCACAGCTCACAGCAACCTCCAACTCCTGGGCTTAGGTGATTGTCTTGCCTCAGCCTCCTGAGTAGCTGGGACTACAGGCACCCGCCACAATGCCTGCCTATTTTTTCCTAGGCATTTTATATAAATGGAATCATGCAGTATGTGACACTTGGTGTCTGGCTTCTTTCCCTTACAGAATGTTTTTTAAATGTTCATCCATGTTGAACCTTAAAAAATAAATTAGGACTTCATTCCCTTTTGTGACAATTTGTGGTCACAAAAGGGATACACACATTTATCTGTTCATCAGTTAATGGGCTTTTGGGTTGTTTCTGCCTGTTATGCTGCTATGAACATTCAGACGTAAGTTTTTCTTTTTTGTTTTTTTTTGAGACAGAATCTCACTATGTCGCCCTGGGTAGAGGGCCATGGTATCACAGCTCACAGCAACCTCAAACTCTTTGGCTCAGGCGATTCTCCCACCTCAGCCTCCCAAGTAGCCAGGAGCATAGGCACCCTCCACAATGCTGGCCATTTTTTGGTTGTAGTTGTCATTGTTGTTTGTCAAGCCCAGGCTGGATTCAAACCCACCAGCTCTAGTGTATGTGGCTGGTACCCTGGCTGCTGAGCTCACAAATTTGAGTGTCATCCTTGCGCAGGAGCCATGCTAACCTTCTGTATATCATCCCAATTTTAGTATATGTGCTGCTGAAGCAAGTACCAGGTGTAAGTTATTCATGGAGACTTGAATTCCAGTTCTCTTGGGTCTATACCTAAGAATGGACTGGGTCATACAGTAACTGTGTTTCACTAGAGGAACTGTTAGGTTTCCAAAGTGGCTTTGCTATTTTACATTCTCAGCGACAGGGTGTGAGGATTCCAGTTGCTCCATCTCCCCTCCAATTGCTTACATTTTGTCTGTCTGTGTGATTCTAGCCATCCCGCTAGATGTGAAATATTATCTCGTGTGGTTTTCATCTGCATTTGCCTGATGACCAGTACTGCTGAGAGTCTTTTTACATACTTAATGGACATTTGTGTATCTTCTTTGGAGAATTTTCTCTCCTTTTTTATTTATTATATATTTTTTGAGACAGAGTCTCATTTGTTGCCCTCAGTAGAGTACGGTAGTGTCATAGCTCACAGCAACCTCAAACTCTTGGGCTCAAGCAATCCTCTTGTCTAAAGCTCCTAAGTAGCTGGGACTACAGGCATCTGCCACAATGCCAAGCTAGTTTTTTTTTAAGAGACTGGCTTTTTTTTTTTTTTAGGGGTCTCTGTCTTGCTCAGGAGACAGGCTGGTCTCCAGCTCCTGAGCTCAGGCAATCCACCCGCTTCAGCCTCCCAGAGTGTTAGGACAGAGGATTGGGCCACCATGCCCAGCCAGAATTTTCTCTCACAACTGAAGTGGTCACTTTCCATAGTTGATGTTTTGTTAAGAAAAGCTACCTCTCCTATTTTCTGAAGGAAGTAGAAACTTGAATTATTTTATTTTTTCAGTAAGCACTAATAAGGTACTATGTTCACATGGTTCAGAATTCAGAAGGTATGAAAGGGTTTGTGATGCAGAGGGCTTACTGGTGCCGAGGCCATCTCCCACAACCCCCTCCTTACTAGTTTCTATATTTCTAGCCACTTTTCTATTGACATTTACAATATTTTTATTTATTTTGACAGTACAAATAATACTCCAGTGAATTACCTTATACTTAGATCATTTTTTGCTATAGGTGAGAAAATTTTTTTTTTTGAGACAGAGTCTCACTCTGTCACCCTGGGTAGAGTGCTGTGGCATCACAGCTCACAGCAACCTCAAACTCTTGGGCTTAAT